ATTATTTATAAAGATAATTAAAATTTTACCCAGAATTTTATTAAAAGTTTTGAAAAGAATTTAATTTTGGTGAAGAATTTCATTATTTATAAGGATAATTGAAATTTTGACAAGAATTTTATTAAAGTTTTTGAAAATAATTGAATTTTGGATAAAAATTTTATTTTTTTTTTTTAAATAATTGAAATTTTTTCGAGAATTTTATTAAAAGTTTTAAAAAGAATTGTATTTAAATAATTGAATTCTTTCGGGTAATTTTATTAAAATAGTAGATATTGAAAATCATTGAAATGAGGAAAATTTTTGAAAATAATTGAAATTTTGACAAGAATTTTATTAAAATGTTTGAAAATATATGAATAAATTTTGGAAAAGAATTTTATTATTTTTAAGAAGAATTAAAATTTTGACGAGAATTTCATTAGAGTTTTTGAAAATAATTGAATTTCTGGAGAAGAATTTTATAATTTTTTTTTAACGTTAATTGAAATTTTGTCGAGGATTTTATTAAAATTTTTAAAAATAATTGAATTTTGAAGAAGAATTTTATTATTTTTTACGATAATCGATATTTTGACCATAATTTTATTAAAATTTTTGATAATAATGTAATTTTTGAGAAGAATTTTGTTATTTTTAAAAATATTTGAATTATTGCAAAGAAATTTATAATAAATTTGTAAATAGTTGAATTCCTGTGAAAATTTTATTATTTTTGAAAATAATTTAATGTTTGCTTTGAATTTTATCAGCATTTTTTTTCAAATAATTAAATTCTTTTGAAAAATTTTATTAAAATAGTAGATATTAAAAATCATTGAATTGAGGAAAATTTTTGAAAAAGTAATTGAAATTTTGACAAGAATTTTATTAAAATTTTTAAAAGTAATTTAATTTTGAAGAAGAATTTCATTATTTTTAAAGATAATTGAAATTTTGACGAGAATTTTATTAAAATCTTTGATAATTTAATTTTTAAGAAGAATTTTATTATTTTTAATGATAATTGAAATTTTGAAATTGAATTGAAATTTCTGCAATCATTTGTAACTTCTAGAAAATTTAATTTTTTTCAGTATTGTTAATAAAAATTTCCGTCTTTTCCCTGAATTCCCTATGTCATAATATATGATTATTATAATTATAATAATATTGAAACTATATATTCCAATTTATATTTTATTTTTATAAATGAAAAATTGAATTATAAATTTTTATACGTTCTATTATGTTTAATTGTTACTAGTTTATAAATGAAAATTATATTAAACAATTTTCTTCACTCCATTTGCGATATATATTCGTCACACAGACAACAAAAGTTGAAAATGTATTAGAGAGGAAAAGAGTAAACAAAAGAGTGCGAATGATTAGGTTTTACATTGTTTGCTCAAGTAACAAGACCCATTTAGTAATCGTCCTACCGGAAACGAGATTTTCAGAACACAGATTTATAACTGCTGTTGCTGCTGCGGATAATCTTCAACTTACTCACATTCCTCGAGTGAAAACAGACAAACGAGACGCATCGTTATTTGACTCGACCCGAAATACAAAATTCTCCGCCAAATGCTAATTTCATGTTTTTAATATAAAAAGGAAAAAAAAGAAAAATATCCCCCTCACATATTTTATAACCAGTTTTCTAACAAAAAAATAAAAAAAAAGCGACTACGACTTTTTTTTGCGCTCTACGTCAATAATAAATAGTAATGCTTTTTTTTTATTGTCTTCGAAAAGTAGAGCTTCGATAGCTTTTTTTCCATCCTATAACTTTCCAACGCACCGTTTGTTCTTTTAACTTCTGAATAGTGCAAATCTCTCGGGTGAAAAACATCTGAAATTATAATTTAACAGGTGAAGTTTATAATGCGTGTGATCCACATTGTAATAGAACAAAAGAAAAATGGACGAAATGGTATAATATTTTGTGGAAAAAAATAAATCATTCATGAACTTTAATAACCTCGTAAAAAAATGTAATGCAAATAAATATTAATTTCATGGTTTTTTTTTCTTTTCAAACTTTCAAGGTAAATGTTATAATCTTATCGGCGTTTAGTTTTCTTTTATTGACTCGCAGGTTTAATTTGTAAAGAAAATTTATTATTTCACTTTTATTGTTGTATCAATATTATTATCAAATATTAAGAATAATTATCAAAAATTACATTATCGAAAATTTATTATGATTACCATGAATATTATTATTAAATTTATTTTTATTTTTATTAACTATTTTTATTATTGAAAATTACGACACAGTAAAAAAATGGGAGACTAGCAAATTATTAAAATTTATTTATTTGTTTTATTTATTGTTGAAGTAAACGAAAAACAAACGAAATAAAAAAAAATTTATTAATGAAACATTTTTTTTATTAATATTACTTTTTTTATAACTATAGTTAATTAATTATTCCTTATCTCTTGGATAATTTTTATTTCCGCTTTGATTTTTATTACTGCACCTAATAACATTAGTAAAAAAAAATCTAGAACTAATCGAATATTTTTTTATATAGAATATTGTATTCTATTTACCTTCTTTATTTCCTCAACACATCAGCAAACATTTCCAGATTTCATCATAATTCGGGAGTAGCATTATAATTTATTTTAATATAAACGCCAGTTGGGAAAAAAATTTTTTTTTTCAATTCTATTAGAAATAAAGATGAATTAAAACTATGAAATTTAAATTTAAACTATTATACATTTTTTACGCATAATATTTTTATTTTTAAGCACTATTCCGAGAAATTGTATAATATGTAGAATTCATTTTTTTATGTTATTTATATTCATTTGAAAAAACAAATATTATAAATTATTAATTATCGTTTTTTTGATGCGTAAAAACGAGATGCGCGTATGAATAATTCCTAAAAATGGTTTGTTAGAATTTTCAGTATTTAAAATTTTTATTTGACATTTTTATTAGACATAATTTCTTTTTAGTTTAATTTTAATAAAAAAATTTTTTAAATAAAATTCTTGAAAGAATTTCAATTATTTTCAAAATTTTTAATCAATTCAATGATTTTCAATATCTACTAGTTTATTAAAATTTTTCAAAAGAATTTATTTATTTAAAAAATATTTTAATAAAATTCTACGTATAAATACATTTAATTTTTTTCATAAATAATAAAAATTTCACAGAAATTCAATTATTTACCAACTTTTTATAATTTTTTTCGCAATAATTCAATTATTTTTAATACAATTTTAATTGCATTCCTCGATTAATTAATTGACTCTTGAAAAATGTTATTAAAATTCACCAAATGAATTCAATTATTTAAAAATTTGTTGATAAAAATCTTTATGAAAATTGAATTTTAACAAACATTCAATTATTCAATAAATTATTTATTTTTTAATTTAAATAATTGAATTCTTCCAGAATTTTTTAATAAAAATTAATTTAAAAATTAATTACAGTTAAAATGTTAGATAAGAATTGAATGTTATTATTAATGATGTTTTCGATTAATTTTACAATATTATTTTCAATAATTTTCCAAAAGAATTCAATTATTTAAAAATATTTTTTTTTAAATTCTACGCAAACATTTAATTATTTTTATAAATAATAAAAATTACACAGGAATTCAATTATTTTCAAATTTTTCAAGAATTTTTTCACAATAATTGAATTATTTTCGTGAATAATAAAATTTGGACAAGGATTCAATTTATTTGATAAATAATAATAATTATCGCTAAAATTCAATTATTTTTAAAACAATTTTTAATCAAATTTCTCGAAAAATGTAATTGTTCTTAAAAATTTTATTAAAATTCGTCGAGGAAATTCAATTATTTAAAAATTTAATTTTAAAATTCTTTATGAGAATTCAATTTTATAAATCATTCAATTTATTCAATAAATTATTTAATATATAAATAATTAAATTCTCGTAGAATTTTCTAATAAAAATTCATTTAAATAGGTATTTTAGTTAAAATTTTAGATAATAATTGAATATTTAAAGCATTATAGCATGAATTTTCAAAAATAATTGAATTTTGAAAAGGATTTGAATTTAAAACTTTGAAAATTTGAATTTTTCATTCATTTAACTACAACAAATTTGTAGAATTAATTTTTTAAAAGTTTATTTGATTTTTTTGTGAAATGATATCAAGTTTTTATTTTCTAAATAAAAATTTATTATTATATTGGAAATTATTGGAAATTGAAGAATTTCCCAATAATCGAAATTTCATAAAATTGAATTATAAACAAGTGAATCCTCAAAGAACTTTTTCCAAAATTATTAAAAATCAATTATTTTAAGTATAATAATTGATTTAAAGAAGAATTTTATTTAAAAATTCTAGAAAATAATAATTGAATTGAGATGATGAAAATAATTTTAAAGTGGTTTCAACTTTCTTATATAAGTTGTTGAAGTTCAAAAAGATTTGAATTGGAATTTTTTGAAAAATATTAATTTCTGCGGAAAAATAATAATGATTGAATATTTATTTAAAAAATAAGTTATTGATGATTTCAAAGAATTTTACAATTAAAGAAATGTTTTATTCAATGTAATATAACATTTTTTTCAATATTTAATTATTTTTATAGTGAATCAGAATATTCTTTATGGTGAGGGAAAAAGTCAAATCTTGAAATCAGGGAAAAAAATAAAAATTTTTGTCGCAACCCTGTAGTTGTTAAATTGTTCTTATTATTATACTAATTATTAAAAATTTCTCCTAATTTATCAGTAAATTTCACACTAATTCAAAAGCGAAAAATCATTCACTAATTCAAATCGTAGTAAATTTTTCTACAAATTCAAATTTTAGAGAGCAAACACAATTTCATTCAGGCGCATCTAATAATATTTCACATAGTAAAAAAGAAACAAAAATTTCCATAAAAAAATAAGAAGAATTCGATTAAATCGTTTTTTTTTACTTCTGATTTTAAAAAATATCTAAGATTGTCAGAGACAACGTGACATATTTTTACTTGATGTTGCTGTAGGTTGTCATTACAGTGAAAGGTGTGCAATTACATTAATTATTTTTTTTGTCATTTGAATGAAAAAAAAAGTGTTTACAACACGTGGGATGAAACAGAAAAATATAAAATATAATGAAAGAGTAAAAAAAAAGATACAAGAGCAGAGTAAGAGAGAGAGGCGGAACCTCATTGTTTTGTATATAGTCTGTTCTACCCATGGCCCTTTCTGGCACAAAAAAAAGTCTGACCCACTTTTGACCTGTATATAAAACACAGTCAACTATGTACTTTCACTAGCTTTTAAACGCAAAGAGACGTGCGAAATGAATCGGAAAAAAATTCCTTCACATACACACCTCGCCTTTGGGCGCGATGCGAGGACTGTTTCCTTGTGAGAATTGCAATTTCGCTTTTTGAGACACTTTACAACTTTCAACTTTATAGTTCAAAGACCGTGCGCGATGATGTGATTTTTTTATATTCTTTACTCTTCCTTTTCTTCTTTTCTTTTTTTCTCCTTTTTAAAGAGTCACGCGTTTTTTTTCTCTTCTCTTTTTTTGATTAACAAGTCAATGAACCACAATCCTTTCGTTTGGCAGCTGCAAAAATTTCTTCCAAACCATTTTTTTTTGCAATTTCGTCACTGATCCTTTAAAAGAAAGAAAAATATGGATTATTTGATAATAAATTAGGCATAAATGTCAAAATGCGAATGCACTTTTTTTAATATACTCTCGGGGTGTATAATATATTTTACGCATAATTTTTAAACTGCATTTTATGTAGTCAATTTTTTTTCATAATCTGACCACTATAAAAAGGAATTTAAAGAATGAAACTAATGCTCTCGAACCGGTCACGATCCAATGAAAGATATTCAAATCTTAAAAGACTTTCATTTTTCAGACTTTTTTTTTCTCAGAACGACATTCTTACTGTTTTGTTATAAACTAATTAATGAGGGAAGAATTTTAGATTCTCTGTTGTTTTCGAAATGTAAAGTAAATCATTTTAATAGTATAAATATTATTATTAACTTATAAATAAATAAATTAATTAATTACCTTATAAATAAATACATTAATAGATTAATAAATAATTCATATATTCATAAATTCTTTTTAGTTTAATTTTAATAAAAAAAATTTTTAAATAATATTCTTGGAAGAATTTCAAATACTTTCAAAAATCTTAATCAATTCAATGATTTTCAATATGTCTACAATTTTAAAAAAAATTTCCAAAAGAATTCAATTATTTAATAAAGTAAATAATTTAATAAAGTTCGACGTAAACATTTAATCTTTTCATAAATAATAACAATTTCACAGAAATTCAATTATTCATATTTTATAAAATTCTCTGCAATAATTCAATTTTTCTAAAATAATTCAATTTTTATATTCATAAAAAATAAAATAAAATAAATAATATAATTAATAAATAAATAAATAAATTAATTAATTAATTAATTAATAATCATTACATGACTATAATTATAATAAATATTAATATACTTCACTATTATAACTTAAATATTAACTTGAATCAAATAATTTTTATTCAAGTCAAAATTAAATGGTTCAATTCATATTTGCTTCAATTAATGAAATTATTGGTTCAAATACCATTTAATTGATTTAAAGAAAAATTATTTCATTCAAATGAATTTTTTTTCATTGTCGTGTAATAACAAATTTTAAAATAATTGAAATTAGCAAAGCATAAAAGTAACTTGACAATTAAAACGAATAATAAGTATAATAATTATATAAAAAAAAGGAAAATATAAAGTAAATAAAAAAAATTTTTTTTTTGATTTTTGTTGTACGTACGAGGGCCTAAAGGAAAAAATGTTTGTTTTTACCCCAAATTTAAGAAAAAAAAACAAGAAAAAAAGATTTTACAAAAAATTAAGAAAAACACCAATGTTTGAATTTTTCAAATTGACGAAATTTAAATTTTTTGTACTTTTTTGGTCAAATTGTTGTAACTTTTTTGGTTCTTGTTGTACAGACGAGGGCCTAAAGGAAAAAATGTTTGTTTTTACCCCAAATTTAAGGAAAAAAGCAGAAAAAAAGATTTTACAAAAAATTAAGAAAAATTCCAAAGTTTGAAATGTTTAAAGTGACGAAATCTGATTTTTTGTTCTTTTTTGGACAAATTGTTATAACTTTTTTGGTTTTTGTTGTACAGACGAGGCCCTAAAGGAAAAGTTGTTTGTTTTTACCCTAAATTTAAGGAAAAAAGCAGAAAAAAAGATTTTACAAGAAATTAAGAAAAATACCAATGTTTGAATTTTTCAAAGTGACGAAATCTCAATTTTTTGTACTTTTCTGGAGAAATTGTTGTAACTTTTTTGGTTTTTGTTGTACGGACGAGTGCTTAAAGGAAAAAATGTTTGTTTTTACCCCAAAATTTAAGGAAAAAAGCAGAAAAACAGATTTTAATGAAAATTAACAAAAATACCAATGTTTGAAATTTTCAAAGTTAATAAATCTCAACTTTTTGTACTTTTTTTGACAAATTGTTGTAACTTTTTTGGTTTTTGTTGTACGGACGAGTGCCTAAAGAAAAAGTTGTCTGTCTTTACCCCAAATTTAAGGAAAAAATCAGAAAAACAGATTTTAATGAAAATTAACAAAAATACCAAAGTTTGACATTTTCAAAGTGACGAAATCTGAATTTATGTATTTTTTTGCACAAATTGTTATAACTTTTTTGGTTTTTGTTGTACAGACGAGGGCCTAAAAAAAAAGTTGTTTGTTTTTACCCCAAATTTAAGGAAAAAAACAGAAAAACAGATTTTACAAAAAATTAAGAAAAATACCAATGTTTGAATTTTTCAAAGTGACGAAATCTCAATTTTTTGTACTTTTCTGGAGAAATTGTTGTAACTTTTTTGGTTTTTGTTGTACGGACGAGTGCCTAAAAAAAAAGTTGTTTGTCTTTACCTCAAATTTAAGGAAAAAAGCAGAAAAACAGATTTTACAAAAAATTGAGAAAAATACCAATGTTTGAATTTTTCAAATTGACGAAATCTAAATTTTTTGTACTTTTTTGGTCAAATTGTTGTAACTTTTTTGGTTTTTGTTGTACAGACGAGGGCCTAAAGAAAAAGTTGTTTGTCTTTACCTCAAATTTAAGGAAAAAAGCAGAAAAACAGATTTTACAAAAAATTGAGAAAAATACCAATGTTTGAATTTTTCAAATTGACGAAATCTAAATTTTTTGTACTTTTTTGGTCAAATTGTTGTAACTTTTTTGGTTTTTGTTGTACAGACGAGGGCCTAAAGAAAAAGTTGTTTGGTTTTACCCCAAATTTAAGGAAAAAAGCATAAAAACAGATTTTAATGAAAATTAACAAAAATACCAAAGTTTGAAATTTTCAAAGTGACGAAATCTGAATTTTTGTACTTTTTTGCACAAATTGTTATAACTTTTTTGGTTTTTGTTGTACGGACTAGTGCCTAAAGGAAAAGTTGTTTGTTTTTATCCCGAATTTAAGGAAAAAAGCAGAAAAACAGATTTTACAAAAAATTGAGAAAAATACCAAAGATTAAAATTTTCAAAGTGACGAAATCTGAATTTTTGGTACTTTTTTGCAGAAATTGTTATAACTTTTTTGTTTTTTGTTTTTCAGAAAAGTGCCAAATGTATTGAAGTATTTCCTTTTTTTGAGATTAATTAAGTAAATTTACCTTTTGGACAAATTCCATAAAGCGTTTTGCACAACATTTGATTTTCCTTTGCCTCCTTCTAATATTGTTTCGCAAATTGTTTTTTCTTCACACGTGTCACGATTAGCAGAAATTCTCCCCTCTCTGTGCTCTATGGGCATATTATCGGCTTTCATCTTGTGAAGAATAATATTCGGTTCCCTGTAATTTAATTTTCATTGACAATTTTAATTTTATTTTTTAGAGAATATTCATTATTCTTCCCGATAATTCATTCGATAAATAAGAAAGATTCAATTTATTATTCCCTATTTCTTGCTGCATGTTTTTTATTTTATTTTGTTAAAAAAAGTAGGTTATTTTTTTGTAATTATTTTTAAACTTTTTTTTTTAACAAAAAGCATCTTTTTTTCCTTTTTTGGATAAAATCGTTTTTTTACAACAAAATTTAGATTTTTCTTTAAAAAAAAAATAATAATAACCACATTAATTAGTGGTAATAATTAATTATAAATTAGTAATAATTAATTAGTAATAATTAATTAGTAATAATTAATTAGTAATAATTTTGAACTAATATTTGTTATATAATAAGTATTTTATATTTATTAACAATAATTGTTGTCATTATAATATATTTTATATTATACAAAATCACATACGTGGTATTATTCTGCTCAAGAGTAACAACCTTTGGGGTTAATGCGGCAAATAATAAGCCAATTGGTATTGCTGTACCGAGAATGTGAAAAATTTTCTTCCAAGGTGATATCCTGAGGAAAAAAATTAATTTTTCTAATGAATATATAAAGCAGTCAATTTATTTTTTACTAACATTTTTCCAACATTTTTTCAAATATTATAAAAAATAAAAACTGTGCAGTAAATGTAACATGAATAATATGTATAAATTTATTTTTCAGTAGAGTAAGTAAATTTTGTGCAAACTTATTAATAAATGAAGGGCGCTTATAAGTAGTAAAGGTATAGTATAGTCAGACATTAAATTCATGTGCGCAAATATATTCCTCATAATTTTATAGTCTAATCATGTAGTTAGTTTAATTTTAGATTAATTTATATTTTTTGACGCATTTCAATAAAATGAATCGATGAATTTCAACTCTGACTGAAAATTACTTTTTCTACTTAAAACAACGTTTTTTATTTGAATATCAACTTTGAAATTATATTTTAACCGTCAAAAAATTTATTTATTTTCATTTTAATTATTATTTATTAAATATTTATTTACAATTATCTTTGATGAATAAAAAAATTATTATATTACATGAAGGTATGGATCACTCCGAGTGTTCGACTCGGAGCAATCGATATCTTCATGTTTTATAATAATTAAAGATGACCAAATCATTATTTTGTGTTATATGAATATTATTACTGTAAATTCTTCAAAATTATCTTCATCATTTCAATTCAATTATTATTAATTCATTTATTATAATTATTTAATTATTAAATAAAATTCTTCTTTAAATCAATTATTATTTATACTAATTAAAACATTTTTTGTTTAATTCAATCAAAATAGTAGGTATAAAATATAAATAAAATTCTGTGATTAATTTTATTATTTATGAAAATAATTAAATATTAACGTACAATTTTATTAAAATTTTATTTAAATACTTTAATTCTTTTGGAAAATTTTATTAAAATAGTAATAATTGAAAATTATTGAATTGATGAAAAGTTTTGAAAATAATTTAATTTCGGAGAAGAATTTTATTATTTATAAAAATAATAAAATTTTTGTCAAGATTTTAAAATAATTTTTGCACATAATTGAATTATTGCGAAGAAAATGTATTCTTTTAGAAAATAATTGAATTATTTGCGAGGAAGTTAATAAAAGTATGTTTGACACCATTACGGATATTTTTTCAAATAAAAAATGTTATAAATATAAAAAAAAAAATTTTAGTTCGCAAATAAACATTTTTTCTTAACCCAAATAAAATTTCTATTTAAATTCAACAGAAGTTTGTTTTAAAATCAATAAGTTAGTCGCAGTAAACATGATAAATACATCTGTTCAGCTACAGGACAAAATTAAAATAATTTTTATTAAAAAAAAGCAAAAAAATTTTGTTTACAAAAAGGAAAAGAAACGTTTGTCTCTCAAATGTTCCATTACATAAAATTCAATAACCTGGCTTTCTTCAAATTACAATCATGTAACGGTAATTCCAGTGATGTTGGTAATTGCGGAACAGGCGGTAAATGTTGTTGAAAATGCTGATGGGGAATATGTTTCGTCTTCATATGAGCCACTTCATGTGTTATCAAATAAACATTCTCCGGTTTCGTCAAATGATTATTATTCCAATTATTACCAAAAATTCCCGTATGTAAATTATCAATTGCACTACTACTAATCTCTGGTTTTTTCAAATAATCAACAAATACCTCTGGTTTTTTATAATGCTCAATAAAAACTTCCGGCTTCCTATAATGATCAACATACACTTCCGGTTTTCTAAATTGATGCTCCAATTCAAATTCCGGTCTCTGCAAATGTTGCTCCACTGTATTTACAACATTTCCCAAATCATAAGTGTTATAATTTTGCTGCGCAAAACGTTCGCCAGTGGGGAATTTTATATTATTCTCAAAAATAACGGGTCTTTCCGTACCGTCAATAAAATACGGTTTTTGAATATTTTGATGATCACCACTCGGATAATAGTTTGGTTTAATGTACTGATTTTGGTACTGTTGATGCTGGTATTGATTTGGTATTGGTTGATGCTGATATTGTTGATGATGATATTGATTATGATGATCGTTATTTTGATAATGTTCCGTTGTTTCTAAATGTGTATTTTCGGTTGTTGCCGGTTTTATGCTAATCATTCCTTGAATTACTTTTGTTTCCATATTCGAATTCTTTTGCGATGATCCTGAATGATTGCTGAGGGAAAATTGATAATGACCATCGTGTGAGTTTTGTGAATTTTGTGTATGTTGATGAATCGGTTGAGTTTTTATTGGATCTGCCTTGTATCTGTTATCGGTATCGGGGAAGAATTTGTTTGCTGTCTGGCTTACCGACTGATGATGATGATGATTTATTTCTGGTAGCAAGTTCACCGAAGCAGCGTTATGCTGCGCTTTTAAAAAAGGATTCACAATCATTCCGGTAAAATTGATTTCTCCAATTTTTCCCAAAAATGTACTTGGTTTGAAATCGTCCGATTCTCGTTTATTATTGTTCAACGAACGTTGATCGACTTCATGAATTTGTGGCGGATTTAACGATTTTAATGATTCATTTTCGAAAGTGCTCTTCTTAAGTTGAATTTCCAGATTTTCGTAAATTGGAGCGGGGTCTTTTGTTTTTTTATTTATTATATCCGAGACACTTTTCATTATTTTCACGGTTGTTGGGTATGAGGATTTTTTTTCGGTGTTATTATTTGGGGGAATTGAAATAATTTCGGTGATGTTTTCTTCGTTTTTAATTGGAGGAACACAATTGAGGAGAATTAGGAAAATGATGAAATTGAAAGGAAGCATTTTTTCTTAATTGGAATTGGAATTTGAATTGAAATCGAAATTGGAATTTGAATTGAAATCGGAATTGAAATCGAAATTTGAATTTGAATTTGACTTTGAAAAACACGAACTTGGTGAAGATGAATTTGTCACACACGTAAAGTGTTAGAGCGACGTGCGGTTCATTGTGTAAAAAGTGCAAGACTAACGAATTGCATTTGAGATTGCAGGTCTTTATCTTTTAGAGAAAAGGAGGTTTTTAAAAAGCGTGAACACGAAGGAGCAACTTTTAATAATTATTCTATTCACTCCAGTTATCCGGTACAAATGTTGACGTGACATTGTGGCGTTTAGTTCAGGCATCCACTTAACTGAAGATCAAGGCGTCGAGAGAGACAATTTTCTGCCACGGTTTTCTATATAATGGCATCTCTTGTTTCTTGTGCGAAAATTCTTCGATAGTCGCAAGAGAGTTGGGGGAAAAAAAATGCGATAAAAGTATAGAGGATGAATGGTCAAAACTTTTCTTCGCTCTTTTTTTTTTATTGACAAAGATCCGTTTGATCTTCATGAAGTTGATTTTCATCAATTGCAAAATATGTTTGAGTCTGTAAACATTTATAACAAATTTTGCAATTATGATAAATTTACGCCTTTTGAACTTTTTCTGACTAATTCAAAAAGCGACCTTTTTCTGATTTATTTTCAAAAAGTATACGATGATTTTTCTTTTCCGACTTTTTTAGTTTTTTTTCAAATATTACACAAAAATTGCATGAAAATGTTGATGAAAATATCACTTTTTTGGTATAAATTGCAACTTTCTTTGATTTTTCGATAAACAAAATTGTTTCAAAGTTTTTTTTATTAATAACTAAATACTAGATAAGTATAAATAATTAAATTATTAAAAAAAAATGTAAGTGACCAAAAATCACAATTTTTTATTAGAATGTTAAATTCAGTTTAATCTAAATAATTTTTTTTTAAATTCTTCTTAAATTTAGTTCAATTTTTTATTACATATATTTAATTAATTATTAAAAATAATGGATTAATAGAAGAATTTTAGTTAAAAACACTAGAAAAAATTGAATTTTTGAAAAGTTTGATTTGATTGCAGAAATTCAATTATTTTCAAATGTTTAAAAAAAGAAAGCAAAATGTTTAATGCTTAATGTTTTTGTTCTTCGCAAAAAATCAACTATGTTCAAAAAGTTTTAAAACTTCTTGACAAAATTTCTATTAACTTTATAAATAATAAAATTCTACTCCGAAATTCAAATATTTTTAAAAATTTTAATAACATTCTTTGCAAAATTTCAATTATTTTCAAAAATCTTCCTAAATTCAATGATTTTCAATATCTGCTATTTTAATAAATTTTTCCAGAAGAATTCAATTATTTCAAGAAAATTTTGATAAAATTCTACGCAAACGTTTAATTATTTTCATAAATAATAAAAATTTCCCAGAAATTCAATTATTTACTAATTTTTTATAAATTTTTTCGCAATACTTCAATTATTTTCATAAATAATGAAATTATTTTTGGAAATTCAATTATTTTTATAGATAATAAAACTCATCTGAAAATTTCAATTATTTTTAATACAATTTTAATAAAATTCCTCGAAAAGTGTATAGTTATTCTTAAAAATTTTATTAATATAAATTCTAAGCGTCGTTTTTCAAAACATAAATTTTTTTACGAATGAGAAATAAATTTTAAAAAAGTTCTCAGTACCTCTGTGTTTTGAAAAAAGCTCTTCTTTAATAAAAAAAGAAAAGCTCCAAATTGATGAAAAAAAAGACAAAATTTGATAGTTGCCACCAAAAATTGTTTAAAAAATTGTCAAGACCAGCGTCGTTTTTCAAGATACAAATTTTTTTCTTCAAATAAAAAGAAAATGTTTGATTTAGATACAATTTTTTTCGAGTCAAGTAACTTTGCTTTTGATTTAAACAAATTTTCTTTGAATTGAAAGAATTTGTTTTTTAATGAAAGAAATTTTATCATTAACATGGGATCAAAGAAAATAATTTCCTAATTTAACAAGGAAAATTTCTTTGAAACAAATAAATTATTTTTGAACCAAATAAATTATTTGTCAACCAAATAAATTGTCTTTGAATCAAACAAATTTTTTTTAAATCAAAGAAAAATCAATTTTCAATCGAAGAAACGAGTCAAAGCAAATGATTTCTTTAAATCAACAAGAACATTTTTTTTTTTTGTATAAAAGCTTAGTTTTAGGTTATTTTAAACAAAGTTTAATATCAAACTAAATAAATATTCATTTTATTTAAATAAAAATTTTGTAATCAATTTAGTAAATTTTGTCCTTCGAATAAAAAAAATTAATCATTCGAACAAATTTTCCATTTAACCAAACAAATATTTGATAGCAATGCATCTATTTGATTCAATTAATTTCATTATGATTTAATTAAATTTTTTTCATTTCGAATAAAATTATTTTGTAAGTAAAAGTCAAAAAAAATAATTTTTCATCGAACCAAAACTATTTTCTCGATGAATTTGTACTTTTCTGTTACCATTTATCGAATGGCTTTTCCGTTGAATACATTAAATTGCAATATAACATTTTGTCTTATTTTTTTTTTTGTTTTTTGCAATCTCATTCTTATGCTTGAAATGAAAGTGCAAAAGTATATATTATATAGATGTAATGGTTCAAAATACAACTTTTCCCTCGAATAGCCTCATATACATATATATATTCGCGTCTTCTCTCATAGAATTGATAATCTTCCTGTTAGACATATACTGCAGAGCGTTTATAACGCACAGTATTTATAGTTGGCCTGATTTTCACTTTCTTAACAAGTCATGCAAAATTTCTATCTTCAATATATTTTAAATGTTTCTAATCAAATAATTTTAACCTTTCCACCTCAATATCATATTATTAATAATTCTTTAAAACACATTTAACCTAATTCGAATTAAATGACTTATAGAGTATAAAAAAAAAATTCTCTCCTCTAAAGTGCGCGAGCGCACATTGCACATGCTCGTAAAGATGAATATATCAGAAGTATAAAATATTCTTTTTCATATTTATATGCTTCATTTACTAATACTGTGTGTACTTATATTAAAAAATATTACTAATAGAATATTTAGGTTATATTAACCCAAATTCGATTTTTTTCTTATATAAATTCTACTACTGACACAATCATCTCTTTATTCCGTCATTAAACTTCCTGTGCACTTAGTGTGCATATACAAACCGATTTCTGGTATAAATTAGTTCAAGTAATTAATTATAATTATTTAGGTAATCAGTACTATTAATTAATTAATCAACTAGTACAATTAATTTTGTAATTACTTTTCAGGGTTGCTACAAAAAATTTAATTTTTCCTATTGTGATCCTAATATTTTAATTTACTCTAAAAATAATTAGATTAGTACTATTAATTAATTAGCACAATTTAGATTTTTTTAATTTATTCTTAAACATATGGTTTCTTATAATTTTTATAGCACTTCGAAGTATATAAAAGAAAAATTTACCCATCTGACATTTATTTTAGTAACTCAAGTTATTAAAATACTAATTTCAATACAGAATTTATTGAAATATGATTAGATGCGGCATTAAAATTGAATTTTTCTCCTCTTCATAAACTTGATATTTGAAAGTAGTACACTTTTATGAAAAAATGACTTTTTTTTTTATATAAAAACCAATAAATGTTATATCGACTTCTCTCTTTCGACTTGTATATTAAAATTAATTTCATTATAAAATTTTGAGGATTGAAAATGGACAAATATAATGACGATTATAGATTTTTCACGCTTTTATAATTATGTGCGAGGGATATATAAATGTAATTGCTGAAAAACATTTATTGCAGTGGATATAATTACTAAATTGCATGGCCTTGAAAATTTTTGGGTCACAGCGGACATTATTTATGGATTTTTGTTACGACAAGAGAAAGATGAAACCAAGTCGATATGAAAAGACTTTCTACCGTAAAGTTTAATGCGTTGTTGTTCCTCAGGACAAACATTACTGTTTCTAATTTTCTTCAGTTTACCAGATCCATAACAATGTCCCCATCATAAGACTTTTTAGCACTTTCTTTAAAGGAGAATAATGGAAATACTTTCTTTATAAGCTGGTCAAGTTTTGTATTCTTCTTTTTTTTTTTTTTTTTTTTTTTTTAATCAAGACAATGCTCAACAATTATTTTCATCTTTCAACAAGTATATAATTTTTTTAAATCTATTAAATATTAATATTAAAAAAACCCTAATTAAAAATACTAATTATACTATTATCGAAATATACACTCATCAGAAAAAAATTTTTCTTCATTTAAAGAAATTATTTGCTTACGCTTGTTTCTTCGATTGAAAACTGTTTTTTTTTATTCAAAGAATTTAATATAATAATATAATTAATTTAATTAATTCAATTAATTCAATTAATTCAATTAATTCAATTAATTCAATTAATTCAATTAATTCAATTATCACCAAGTGATAAATTCAAATTAATATTAATTTATTTAATAATTATTAGCGTGATTTTAAAATTAAGTAATTAATTTATTAGGGATTTTAATTAGAAATTAGCATTGAAATTTTTTTACTTAATTAAATTTTTCTGCTAGTTTTTTTCGTTATATATTCATCCATGTACAAATGTACTTAATAGTGAAACAAAAAGTTTCAAAAAAAGAAGAAATCTCTGACAAGAAGAATTAATGATTACTCAAGCAATTTAGACAAAATTTTAACTGTAATTAGAATTGCAATTAGTTAAAAGTATAATTTGAATTAAGAGAGTGATAAAGTAAAAACAACTTTCGCGATAATTTCTTTAAACTTCATTCAAAGCAGTTGTTTGCACTTAAGATAATATTATCTTAATTCAAAGCTACTTTCATTTTCTCAAATCTCTCACAATCTTCATTGTACAAGATTAAATAAATAATAATTTATTCACTGGTTTTTTTTCACTATTATAAACAAAATTATTAAACAAATTATTTTTTTTACTGTTTCTTTTTTCCTCTAATCAAAATTAGACAAATAATTTTTCTTCACTATTATTTCTTCCTCTAATCAAATAAACAATTTTTTTTTACTGTTTTTTCCCCTGTCAAAATAAAACAAAATATTTTTGCAA